CCCGGCAGGTGAGGCCCCGGCAGGTGAGGGCCCGGCAGGTGAGGGCCCCCCAGGTGAGGGCCCGGCAGGTGAGGCCCCGCAGGTGAGGCCCCCCCCCAGGTGAGGCCCCGGCAGGTGAGGGCCGGGCAGGTGAGGCCCCGGCAGGTGCATCTGATCTTCCGTGTACGGAGAGGAGCGGAGCCCGAAAACCAAGCCCACAACAATAATTAACAAATGAGCGCGGGGTCAAGGCTCGGCCGGTGAGCCGGCGCGGGCACGGGGCTGGGCAGGGGCCGCAAGGCGCCTGCAGGCCTCGGGCAGCGTCCAGCTGTAAGGCAGAAGCGACCAGCCCGGTTCTGCGAACACGAAGGTGCGTGACAGGGAGGAGGGACCGAGGAGCTGACGTGCTGGGCGGAGGCGGGAGGCTGGGGTGGGGGCAGGCGGGCGGGCGGCAGGGCAGGGCCGAGGCGCTTCTCCTCCAGCCCAGGGTAGCCCCTGGTGACGCCGACAAGGAAAACAGGCTCAAAGCAGAGAAACGGAGAAGGAGCTTCTCACTCTGCGGCCCTGGGCCGGCGCGGGCAGGGCACCGAGGTCGTGAGAACAGAAACTCTGGACAGCGCTACGGCCCGGGGCCAGAGGGGGCCAGAGCAGCGGCCGGCGGGGCCCGGCTGTGACCCGCAGGGCCCGGGGCCTCCAGGACATGAGGGGGCAGCAGCGCTGCGCTCTGGGCCCTGTGACGCCCCCCCCCCCCTGCCCCCCGCCGCCCCCCACCGTGGCTGTGGCCTCGGCTCGCCCTCCCCACACAGGGGCCGGCGCCGCCCGGCCTGGGGGGAGCGAGTGGTCAGCCCCGTGCAGGTCCTGCAGGCCCTGGAGTTGCCTCGCCCGGGACGCCGGAGCCCGCGTGTCAGGGAGCTCAGAGGCGGGATGCCCCGGGCTGGGGGCCCAGGGGAGACCCCCCGGAGGTCAGGCCCCACCTTGCCGAGAGCCCCAGGCCCGCCGGCTGGGGACTCCCGCCAGAGAAGAGCCCCGGCACCTGCCGGCCGCCCCCTTCCCCTGAGGAGGGGGGACGCAGCCCCAGACACCTGGCTGGGTAACCTGCACAGCCCGCGGGCGCCCCGGGGTGCATTGCCAGCCGTGTACCCTCCTCCCTCCCCCTCAGGAGCGGCCTGAGGAGGGCCGTAGGGGCAGAGGGCTGGGGGGCCGCTGGGCCACTCGCTGTCGCTGGGGCCCGGGGTCCCCCGCGCTGGGTCTCGTCAGCTCTGTGGTCCGTCTTGGAGCTGACTCATCTGCAGACACGAGCCTCATTTTCACTTCACCAGGCCCTGAGCACGCTTGTTCCGGGCTGACTTTGCAGAGCACACGTGCCCGGAAGGGGAGCGGGCGGCAGCGGGCTCTCCGGGCGGCCCTGTTTGCTGGCCGGAGGCGTGGCCGCCGCACCGGGCCTCTTGCAGGGACAGGCCCTGGCCCAGCACCCGCCCAGCTGCCTGGGTGAAACGGGCGAGGAGCCAGCGAGGCCCTCAGGCCCGCCGGGCGGCTGGCTGGGCAGGGTGCCCGCCACGCCCCGCAGGCGCCTCCGCTCTCACCAGCTTCAGGTGGGGCCACACCCTAGAGAACCCCAGAGGTCTGGGGTGGAGCAGAGGGCCGGGCGGGCCCCCCCAGGGCCCACGTCTCAGGGAGAAGGCGGGTGCGGGGCTCTTCTCTGGGTGGGGGATCCCAGGCCCGGACATCCAGGGGCTCTCGCGAGGGGGCACCCCGAGGCCTGACCTCCGGGGCTCAGCGTCCTCGCTTCTGCCTCTGCCTCTGCCCGGTGGGCGGGGCCTGCGCATCCGGGCTGCGGCCAGTGACCTGACAGGCGGACTCTGGGCGCCGCGGTCCAGCCCCTCAACCTGGCCGTGGTCCTGAGTTATGCCTGAAGACGGGGGCAGAGCTCAGGGTCTGAGGGTGACGGCCCAGGCATAAAATATTAAACCCCCCAAATCCTGGGCTTCCCTGCTTAAAGTCTCAGGCTATCAAGCTGTCACCAGGCACTGCGGCCCGAGTCCCTCCCCGGCCAGGAGTGACCCCAGGGCGCAGCAGACCCCTCCCGCCTCCCCGCTGCTCCCCTCAGCAGTGGACTTTGTCCATCTGCCATCGGTCTCTGGTGAGTCCTCTCACTCCCACACCTCTGGCCTGCACCCCAGTTCTTGTGTGCATATAAATAAACCTTTAAAAACCCCTCCAAATCCCAACGCTGCCGGCCTCGACCCCCCTGAAGAGCAGAGGCGGAGGTCCTGCAGACGCCCTGTCCACTGGCAAAGCTTGGGGTCTGCTGCCCTGGCCGGGGCCGTCTCTGGGGCTCCTTCTCTGAAAGCGCATGAGACCCCGCAGCCTCTTTACTGAGAGCTCGAGGCGCTGCGGCCAGCGGGACTCGGGGAGTGAGATGGGGCGCCCCAGTCCCTCCGGCAGAGGGAACAGCCCCCGGCAAAGCCTGCGGCAGCACGGACCCACCCGCGGTCAGCCGGGCGGGCCTCAGGAGGGGCGGGGCAGGCGGGGCCAGGCCTCCCCCCAGCGCACTTGGCCGTTTCCTGACAGCCCCCCGCACCCGCACACGCACACGCACACGCACACGCAGGAGGTCTGAAGCCAGGAGCAGACGGCAGCTGCCCGCACCCGACACGCGTCCAGCTCTTGGATGAGGACACAAAGCAGCACAGAATCTCCCCGCCCACAGGCAGACAGCCTGGGCCCTGGGTGTGCGCGCTCCTCCGACCACACTGGGTGGACCCCAGCCGCGTGGACGTGCGCGGTCCCCAGCCCAGGCCCGGTGGGGCGCCGAAGGCCTGAGGCCGCCTGGCTCCAGCAGACCCCCCAGGGCAGGCCGCCGCGAGGGCCGGCCCGGTGGACGCGGAGGGGGGATGGAGGCGCTGCCCCACTGACCCCGGCCCGCTGACGGGGGCGGCCTCGCGGGAGTCCCTCCGCCTCGGGGCTGAGCAGGCCCTCCTGGCCAGCGACGCGGCCGGGCATCGTCACGGCGACGCCAGACTGCACGGGAAAGCGTCAAACCTCTCGCAGGCCCCTGGGCCGCGGGGGGACAGGCGGGCGCGCGGCCGCTGCCACTCAGCCCTCCGGCCCTTCCCTGGCGCGTGACCCCACGGCGGCTCCCGCAGCGGCTGCACCTTCCGGTCGCTCGGCTGGCACGGGACGAGCACACCAGCCGTGCTCCGGGGCTCACAGGCCCGCAGGGCCTGCCCAGGGCTGCTCGTCACTCCAAAGCGCCTGTCCCCTCCCGCTAGCTCTCTGGCTCCGCGCCGAGCTTCCACGCACCTCCCTGCCGCCCTTCTGGCACGCGGGTCTGGCACACGCCAGGCTGGCCGCGCACGCCTCCACCGGGGCGCCCCAAGGACGCGCGTCTCGGGGCACCGACGCCTGAAGTCGTCGGCCACTGGGCACACGTGAACCCCGCCACAGCCGGGGGCCCGCAGGTCCCCGGAGGCCCCGCCCTCGCCCCCTCCTGGGCCTCCTCGGCGGAAAGGGTCACGGCTAATCTCAGCGGGAAGGGGCCGCTGGGCGGTCCTGTCGGCTGGGGCCCTGCGGCCCCCAAGATGCAGACTCCGGGCACCACCCGGCTTGGGGACTTGGGGCTGGACGTGCACTTCCACGAGGGCCCCAGGGGCACACGGTGTACCGCCCCCCCGTAAGTCTAGGGCAGCAGCTCCGGCCAGGCCGGCGGCTCCAAAGACTCGGTCTCGAGAAAGCAGCGCAAGGCCCGGTGAGCGAAGCCACCAGGCAGCACCGGGACCCGGAGACGGCGCAGGGAGCCCTGGAGCAGGCCGGGGCCAGGCCAGCACCCGCCGTGACCGGGGCCGGGGCCCAAGAACCGCCTGTGGGAAGACTCGCCCTTGAACCCGCCTCTTTCATGCCTCAGTTTCCTCACGTGAAAGTTCAGAGCGCCGTAGGCAGAGGCTCGCTGCGGCCTCGCGCGACGCCCCGGGGCCCTTCTGGCTGGACAGCTTGGCCCTGCCCGGCACACCCATTGCACCCTCAGGCGCGGGCTGGCAGGAGGTCAAAGGCTAAAGGTCAGCAGCAAGCCACCTCCCGCGTGAGCCTGCAGAACGCCAAGGGGTCCACACTGCTCTTTTCAATTATAAGACAAAACCCCCCACTGCAGAGAGTGGGGAGACGAGCGAGCCTCCTCCCCCGGGCAAGCGTGGCCGGTGCCCGGCCACCCGGCGTGAGCGCTGCAGGCCGCTGACCCTGTGTCTGGGCCGCACCGGCCTGGCCGCCCGGCCTCCGGGGAAGGACAGAGGAGAGGCCTCCACGCCCTGGAGACGGGGGGGGGGGGATGTCCCCCGGGCTCACACGGGCCGGGGTGCATAAAGCCACCGTGTGGCCGGGGCATGCCACGTAACCTCTGCACCTCAGCTGCCCACTCAGTGGCGAGGCATCGTCTGCCCTGGTCGTGGCCAGGAGCGGGGTCCACAGCTCAAGCCCCCCGAGCCTGGGTGACGGCGTCTCTCCTCCTCCCCCGCGGAGGGCCCAAGCACCCAGGGAGGGGTGACGGGCACCTGGACTTCGGGACGGGTCAGGGGAACGCAGGCTGTCCGAGCTGCCGGGGCCAGCGGGGGCGCCCGGCGTTCTCGTATCTGAGCGAATGCACCCGAACTTTTCCAGAGCCTCGGGGAAACGCTCTTGCTAATTTAAAAGGCAAAAAATGGCATCGTGCGAGGACCTGCACCGGGTTCATTTATTTGTCCAACCAGCACGTTCGGTCAATACGCGGCCAGTCGTGGCGCTGCCCGCCGGCCTCTCCGGCCTGTTCGCCGACGCTGTTTTAGTTCGCTCTTCAAGCCTGAGTCTCGATTTTTAAAACCCACGTACAGGCTCTGGTGGGACTAAAACGTTCGTTTCCACTTCTGGTGTGTTTCATCTGTGAGAGCCTTTCCTGCCGGGTTCTCAACTGCTTTTGCGGAACTCACAGCCACGCGGGCTCTTCCAGAACTCAGCCGAATTCTGAATGCCTTTCATTTCTAAATTTCGGAAAACAGCCGCTGGCCCGCGATCTGGTAGAGTACGTCGTGCACACGGCTACTTTTAGTCCTTCTCTGAATGCGTCTGCTCCGGTCCTACGTGCTGACAGGAGCTTAAAAAGCGCATGAAATAGTGGCGAGGACGGGCTCCCGGCCGCGGCTGCGGTCAGCAGGCGGCCCCAGCCGGTGCCTGCAACCCCGGCACCGGTTTGCAGGGGACCGTCTCAGTCATGCTAAGCATGTTCCCTTCTATTCTTTCACAGTACATGGATCAGGGAGAAATGGCTGTTCGATTTTAATCAATTTCCCCTGCAGACACTGGCGTCAATCTGGGCTTGCGCCCCCAGCCGATGAGCGCGACAGTTGCCACATTAAGCTTTCCTAATAGCGACGGTCTCCCCGCCCCCGGTTATGGCGATGGCTGGCTTCAGACATTACTGAGCTCCTTCCGACGTAGCGTCTTCTCCCTCTAACGTGACCTGGCAGGCCTGCTCTGCCCTGTGGAATGACTGGAGAGCTCCCCGTCTCTGGCTGAGCCTCGGGTAGCTAAATGTTAACCAGGATCGTCAGGTCCAGATCTGAGCTAATTACCCAGGGGAGCTCTGGGGCTGGTGTGCTCTCTGCAGAGAGGGGCAGTCCTCTGGCAGCCACGGACAATTTTTTTCTCGATTAACAGCATATACGTTTTCAGAAAAACATTCACTCAGTTGAGATTTTCTAATTGAAGCCTGTTCGCGCAGGCGTAGGCCGTGACTGACGATCTCCGGCAACGTCCTCTCCCTTCCTGTCCTTTCCTTTCCTCTCGTTTCTCAACTAGATGCGCCAGGCCAGGCTTCTTCATCGTTTATTTAAAGGCGGGGCCAGTCAATTTCACTGTCTTTCCATTTCCGATTAATTCATTTCTGCCTTTCTCTTTTCTGTTCCCCTCCCCCTTTCCTCAGGGACTGTTTTTATTCTCCTCCCCCTCCGCCCCAACATCTCAGGCTGAAAGCTCGTTTATTCTGTCTCTCGCTCCCTTCTTACTAACGCGCGTCTCGGGCCACCAGGACACGCCGGCTGTCGCCACAGGCCGGGTGTGTGGCACTCTGGTTCTCGGTGCTTTCTAGATACTTGTCACTATCGTCTTTATTTCTCCCCTGCCCCAATCGCTATTTCAGAGAGCATTTTCCACTTTTTTTCACGTGGTCGGGTTTTAGCTTCAGTCTGTTTAAATGCACAATGTTTTGGCTCGGTTTACTGCCTGGCGATCAAAGGACTTTGTGACTGGCGCTGTTTCTGTTTTGGGTGGAACGTGAGTTCTTACAGTTGGTTGCTGGTGGCTGACAGAAATGTTTGCAAAGCAGATGCTCGCTTGCAAAAAACCCAAGTGCTTTTGCTAAGCTTCTGCTCGCCACGATGCTACGTCAAGTGACGAGGGAGAGGGGCCTCGGTCCTCCCCGGGCCGCCTGAGCCAGCGCCCACCCGAGCCAGCAGCGGGCGGAGGCGCCACCAGAGCCCGGAGGGAGGCGCGGGATTTCTGCTTTCCCTCCCTTCCTGCATCTTCAAATGTCCTACCTTGGCATAGGCTGCACCACGTTAGTAGGATTCCTTAAACGTTCACTTGAAGAGAGCTGCTCTGAGCTCCCTGGCTGAGCGAAGGCGCCCAGCCAGGCCCCCAAGCTGCCGAGCTGATGCTGGGCGCGGGGCTGTCTCCTGGCTGCCTCTGTGCTGGAGTGGGGGGGCAGTGGGGAGGCCCAGACCGGCCAGGTGGGGTACACGGGTCACCAAGTCAGAGGGGCCAGCCTGCCCTTCCCCGCAGAGGACGGCTGCGCACCAGCTCCGGGACGAGTCTCGCTGGGACCATGGGCCCAGGGGCCTGGGGGGCCGGGGAGGAGCCCCACGGGCACCTCCTCCGCAAACCCCAGGCCTTGTCCCACCCCCACCCGCTGCCACCGTCCGGCCGAGCCCTGTGCTGTCCTGCGTGTGCTGCACACTGACCTTCAAGCCTGTCTGAGCCTGACGCCCGAGAGACACCGACTTCCTGCCTCTGCCCCCCAGGTGGGGTCGCGGCAGCACCGGCTTGGGGAGCACAGCTGAGCGTGAGCTGCGCCCTCCAGAAGCCAGCGGGCTCTTGGCTTTACTTTTCTTTCTTTCTTTTTTATATAAAGATTTTTAAAAAAAGATTTATTTATTTATTCATACAGAACTGGGGTACAGGTCAGAGATGCGGAGAGTGAGAGGCTTCACCAGAGACAGAGCGGGGAGCAGAACAGGCAGATCGATGAAGCACACTGCTGAGGGGAGCAGCGGGCGGGTCAGGAGAGGTCTGCCACGCCCTGGGTCACCTCCAGGGCGGGCGGTGATCGAACTCCTGCGGAAGTGGCTTTAGCCTCTCAGTGCTGTGCTGTAACCCGCTGCGCCCCCAGGGGGGGCCCTGCTTTTCTTTCATTACTGTTCTACTTTTCTGGGTGTGCTGGGGCTTGTGCGGCCAAGTGGCCCCACAGACGGCCCATGAAGCCCAGACTCAGCCAATGGGGCGCACATCCCACGTCCATGCCTGGCAGGCGCAGGGCCACTTCCCGCCTCCCGAGGGGGCGGGCGCCCCGCGAACACGGGGCCCCCTTTGGTGCCGGAACTGGGGGGCCCGCACCGGGCGCCTGGTACCAGGACGGGGGAGGCCCCCACCGGGCCGCTTCCACAGCATCTCAGAAGCGTCGCCTACATTCTCACGCGGTTCAGGAGCTGAGTGTGTATCGGGAACGCATCCCGGTGGAGAATCTGACGGGGTTATTTCTTAATGAGTTTACGAAACGATCACGGGTAGGAAACGTACTTCTGTAAATTGTCCATAAACAGCCGGTGCAAAGTAGTTCTAGGTGAAGTGAGAAGCTTTCAAGCACAGTGCCACGCGGCCCGACGGACGTCTCCCCCCGCCCATCGACCTCCCCAGGGTCCCGGCGCCCCGAGCCCCTGCACGCATCTCGAGGGCCCACTCGCCCGCCCCCACTCCCACCGGCACCCCGGCGCGGCATGCGCCGGCTCTGTCCAGCTTGGCGCCTTCTCCTCCCGGCGGGTGCCGGCGCCTCCCGCCCACTGAGACCCGGCTGGGAGCCTCCTGCAGGCGGGCTGCCCTGCAGGGCGAGCTGGACTGAGGGCTCCCGGGACGGGCGCGCTGCTCCCCTCGTCCCGGAGTTCAGCCCAGGGCGGCAGGCGCTTGCCGAGTGTGTGCGGACCGCGGGAGCGGGGCGACGACAAGGGACACGGCAGCGGCGAGGCCTCTCGCGCCAGCACACGCGGCCTCCGGGCGGCAGAGCCCAGCTCTGCCCCCGGCGGGGCGGCGGGGGTTGCTCGAGGCTCGGGGAAGAGCCGCTCGGGTCAGTCCCTTCCCGTCCCACAAGACCCCAGGCCAAGAGGTGCCAAGCGCTGGACCGCACTGGCCAGAACACTGGGCCCCAGCTGAGGCCTCCCTGACCCCCTGGGGCCTGGGCCGCGCCCACCCCGAGGCCGCAGCGCCACCCTCCGGCCAGTCGCCAACGGTCCGCCAACCTCCTCCCTCACCGCCCACTGGCCATGCAGCAAAGGGACGGGCTCGCTGGGCAGCC